AATAGCTCCCAAACACCCCCTTACTATCTTCGATTAAAGTAATCAAAAATTGACAAATCTAAACTTTTTATATGTTGATTTTTTGTTGTACGGCATACATTCAGCATTTGACTTGGCCCATTGAATGAATATTTAGAATTCTGTAGTAATACAGAGAAATAAAAACATGTTTCAGAATAAACTAAGTTTTATTATTAAATTAATAATAAAGCTTATTTAATCGGTCTTATATTTTTCTTCTGACCAAATCATGCTTGGAGCTTCTCTCACTATATATTGGGATAATTAGAGAGTGAGACTGAGAAAGCTTAATATAGCAAAAATGGAGAAGTCTCAAGCAACTAATAAATCGAAGAACAAGATTTTAGGGTTTCTACCAAAAGCAGCAGTTTCATTTCAAAATCCTATTTTCTGCCCTGGTAAAGACAAAAGACCAGTTGGAACAAATGCTAAGAAAGTTAAAAGCCATTTCAACGGAGGGTATTCCGCCCTGATTATGTCTATAATTCCAGGTGAAGCTCGATCAGGGAAATCAAATAACACACAAGAGCCAACTTCACCCAAGATTTCATGCATGGGACAAATCAAGCACAAGAAGAATCTGTGTAGAAACAAGTACGTTTCCTTGGCTAAAGAAATCGAGCCCAGAATCAAGCTCATCGGGCCGCTGCCGGAGCTGGAGAAGAAACAATCAACGCTTTTGAATATCATGACCAGTACTGTAAAGCCCGAAAGAAGAAAACACGATGCATCAGTTGATCAGTGTAATAGACCGCCTCTACTTGATCGGGCTCCGAGTATCAGCCAGACGAACCGGTTTTCCAGCAGTCGAGATTCTCATACACTGGTGAATTTTGATTGGAGAACTGCACAGATTGAATTGGAGGAACGGGAATACTATTCAGAGGGAGAAGAACATGAAGTAAATATTCCTTTCACAGCTCCACTATTGATTTCCGGAAGTGGTCCCGGCGGAGGCAGGGTGGCGGTGGAGCCAAGGAAGGAAATTAATTTGTGGAAAAGAAGAACCATGGCTCAACCTAAGCCTCTCCAGTTAAACATGGTTAGAGCTCATTAATTAGATGAGAAATTATGGGCTTAATTATGTTTTTTAATCCAATTTTTCCTTCTTCCATTTCAAGATTAAGAATTTCATTTTTGTAATAATGAGATGATGTACAAAAATGTTCATTTATATAATTTATGTAGCACGAATTAAATTACTAGCCAATTAATTGATATGTCAGGTTACCGTTACTTAACTTATACTTTGCCATAAAATTCCGGCACCCTTGACCCTTAAATTTGGTGGGATGTAGCTAATTTGGATATCAAAATTTCTTATAAAGGAAATTGCACTACAATTGCAACATAGCTGCGTGCTATATTAGCAGTTAACTGAACCGTTCATATAGTAATTTGTGTGCTAAGAGATGGTTTTTAGTAGTGTCTCCTACAAGATCCATGTAATTTGACTCTTGTTAATTTCCTTTTTTTTTGCTTTTGTCCTGAAATGAGATTTTGCAGAAGGCTTTTAGTCTAAAGGATTGACAAGTTGTTTAGCTATCCATATCGTTGTTTTGGAAGGCATGCCCTTTTTCCTCGACAATTTGGATTATTAATATCTTGATAGAGTTATCCAGGATTGCTAAATTTCTATCAGTTGCTATGATTATATAGAATTGTGGTATGCTAGCCATTTCAATCGAAAATAGACAATCCAAACCATTTTTGTTCTAGCTTCCTAACTTCAATCTTTACTAGGTCAAAATGTTAAAATGAAAATGTAAACTATGAAAAATAACCTCACATAAATGTTTTATTCCTGCTAACAACATGTGGTAGGTTCTTAGACGGACTTTCCTGGCCAAGTGGCTGTACACTTTTCCATTTGGACATAAGAACTAATTCCACCATGCTTTGTCATTCATATATATTCTTTGAATGGGTTAATGAAGAAAAATGCATGATCCTGATGGAGAAGTACTTGGACAAGCATGCAATTGTTTATGGCCAAAGTACCTGAACTGTTTGGTGTCTTTGGGAAGCTGGAGTTATGATGATGATAAATCTGATCATATTCAAGGTGCTCAAAATTCACCGGTTCAGTTCTCATCCACTTTACCAGTGATTTACCTAGAGTTCTATGAGTTAGTTGCCCTTTCATAACGTTGCTTCCTTTATGATGAGGGAATGCTTTACTTTGTAAATACTTGGGGGAAATTTTACAGCAGTTTTCACCCCGAAGTTAGCATTTGTCTGTAATGTTCATTTGACAAATCACCGTTCGCTCACCTTGGCCCACCATGCTTTGCTATGCAGTGCCATCCAATGAACACAGCTAAATTTTCATTACCCCTTTTGAGCAAATTTAATAATGATTGATTTCAGATTTTTGAGGAAGGAAAACTCATATTATTGATTTCAGTAGTAGTTTGCTTGGAAATACTCTGAGATATATTTTTTGATAAAGATTGCTTTTTAGATATGCTCTGTACTCGATACCCTAAAATGTTTTTCTGGCTTCTGCAGTTAAGGATGCATTGAAATTTGGAAAATGCTACATTAACAGAAGAATTCTGACATATTGTTTGACAGGAGTGTCTAGCATTTTGTGATTGAATGGAAAATATAACAGTGTTATAAATAGTCCAATGATAGAACGTCACGTGGTATTATGTTAACCATTGTGTCAATCATTATGTTGCTGTAGCATGATTGCTGAAATTTTGGCTGGTTCCCTAGAATTTGGCTGATTTGAGATGTGCTGAAATTTTGGCGTTGATACTATTTATGCCTGTATAAGATGAATTTATTTTGTTTGTCCTTGCTGGGTCCAACTCACCCTCAAAGACCAATAATTACTCTGTCATATTCATTCTGTTCGTAAATATCTCACCAAATTTCTGAAGCAAATATACATCAGCCAGTGAGGGATGCGGGAGACTTGGTAATGCAGTTATGTAGTGTTAGAAGTATGTTGCTCCTTTGGTTTTGTCGCCATCCTTTGTCTGCACGTATGGTTTTCGAAAAATGCTGTGTAAGGATCGTATAAATTTCCTCTGTGTTGGTGTATGTAAGATGCATGAATTAATATGGAATTTTACCCCTTGAATCCATATCCACCTGTGGAAGTTCGCGCTATGTAGGTGCATACGAGTTATTGGAAATTTGGAAGACAAGGAATCAATTATACATAACAATTTCTACAAAGAGGGAGTGCTGGTGAATTCTGGTGGGTGGAGGAAGACGGGCAGTTTGCTGAAGTGGAAAGCTTTGAAACTGTTGCAAGTGTGATGCAGATATTCCACAATCCAAGAAGTTGTAGGATGCAGTCACTCTTGTGAGCTGGCTCACGTGGGTTTGTATCGAAAAAGAGAACTCGAGAAAAAAAAGTAAAGCTTTTAGGGTCGGCACATTCCTATTGACGACACATCTTTAGTACTCGTAGATGAAATAGTTCTTGCAGACTACCATGACACTGCTCTTACCAATGGAGGACACCTTGGGACATCATCTGTTGAATGATTTGGGATTTGGCTCTCTCAATTGGAATAGTTTTTCTTTCTATGCAACTCTATCAAAATTGATCTTTATATATGGGCTTGATAACTTGAGATCCGTCACTTGAAATTTTTTATCGACTTGCATGTTTTGTTCTTTCGAAATTCATAGTAAAAAAGGGGACCATTTTTAGTCGTGATTCGAACTTATAGGTGGTTTGGTTTTAGATTAGTTTGAAAGATTTCTCTCAAATCAGTAGAATTTGACAGAGAAAGCGAACTCTAAAGTGTTCTAGAGACAAACTTCTCTAAAGAGCTTTACTTGTGAGTACGTTCAAGACATGGGAGATCTGCAATGTCCATCGAGGTATAATTGTAACTACGGTCTATTAGGATAATATGGACTCATTTGTAACAAAGAGGTTGGCTAAGCAAAAGGGGAGGAACGTGAAATGGTAGAAAATATTGAGAACATATTGTAATATTTTTTGTGAGTTTTATTTTAAAAAAAAAAAAAGGATAGTTTTTCTGTGTTATGCCTCCCGTAAAATTTTCCATGTTGTCTGAAAATTATTTGGAATGTACTGAAAAATTATGAAATAAACAAAAATATAGGAATACTCAGAGCCAGCTATCTCAACCTCTGGACGATAGTATTGACAAAATTGACCTTCATTTGAGTGGTATTGACAAAATTGACCTTCATTTGAGTGGTCACACTTGTGGAGTCAACATTACGCCCACACGTATGCAAGGACATTTCAGTCAAACCTCGAAGAAATTTGGTCCAAGTCTTCTTTTCCGGCCAACCTTCATCCAAACAGTGACTCTTTCGAATTGGCATCATTAAAAATAAGGAACATCCAAACAGTGGACCCATTCGAATTTAATATTTGGCATAAGTTAACCGTAAAATTTATGATATTGTTTAATCTTATTATATAATATAACGTAATAATAAAGAATGAAAAAATATAGAGAAAATAGGCGACAAAATTATCAATTATTTTAAGTAGTTTACATTAGTCATAATTAAAATTTTATTATATTTAAAATTTAGTGAAATATAAAAATTAACTTATATACGCCTTAATTCTGATTCCCTATATTACATTGGCATTCGTTTCATCATCAGAATTATTATTTTCAATAGCTTTAGTAACAGATTTTCTTTATATAATATAACTAAGAGTTTGTTTTGTATATATTTTAAGTTAATTAAAATCAATCTTTTGATTGTTATTTCACTATTTCAACAGTTATTTTTGAATTTTTCTCTCACAGGTCAAAAAATCAATTATCAGAATCCCTACCAAACAAACACTAAAAAATTTGTAAGCATTTGTAATTGTAAGTAAAAAATGTCAAATTAATTAATTAAAAGAACATTTCCTAATATATTTTACTGCCTTTGTAAAAAGATATGGAAAAAAATAAGTAATTTCTATTTTTAAGAAAACGAATATTATTAATCCATTAAATTGGAGTAACGTTAAAAAAAGGGCTGCTGATGTACATCAATGCCAGAATCTCTCTCAGTTTTCTCTTCGTCTTTTTACTTTTCTCTGCTCATGGTTTTTAGATCGTACTATGATCTAACTTCTTCAGTATACAATCAATTATCGTGACACTGAATTCTCAAATTCACACAATTCTAAAATAATTTATCTTTTCTGGTTTATATGTTTATGCATTTATATACATTCATATTCAAATAACTAAATAAGTTTAGGTGAAGGAATTGAAGTATATATGTCCGATCAGGAGAAAATGTTGTGGGGTTTTCTGGGTTTTCAATATTCTCAATTGGGTTGTTGAGATTTTAGGAGAAAAGTAACCGGTGTCTTGAGAGTGGGGGGAAAAAATCTTACCTGGGACTGGGAGTTTTGATATTGTATTGGTTTTTACCTGAATATTTTTGATGATCTCTATGGTCAGTAGAGATGGGAGAAAGGGGTTAGGTTTAGGTCAAGATGAAGAAGCTGAGCTTGAAGAAGGAGAGGCTTATTGTAATCCTAATGAGAATAAGAATGAGGATTCAACCATTGACCCTGATATTGCTCTGTCCTACATTGTAGGTTTTTCTATTTCACACTATTATGTATTCCCTTTTCTTTGTGTACGAGCACTTTACTTTTAAAAGCTTATGTATGTAATCTTGGGTTGAATTGCTGTTATATAGAGCATATCATGATGACTTGTCTTCTATATTTACTGTCTTGTTTTGATCAATTTGTCTAATTGGATTAATTAATTTCTTGATTAGTTTAAACTCCATCAATGCTCTTTTAGTAACTTGGTGTGGCAGATAGTTGTTTGACAAGATCAAAAGGAATTATACATTTATGCTTTGCATAATATAGCTCACATTATCTGCATATTTGGAGTAATTCAATGCCCATTCCATATGTACTTAAAAAAGGTAAAGAAATCTTGTTTCTGAACTTTAGAAGTGCTACGGACTAGGATAAAGATAATTAACTTATATATCATAGGGCTGTGAAGTTTAATTTCTGTTAGCTATCATCTAATTTTGATCATTTGAACTGTCTTGAAGGAGGAAAGACTCCAAAACGTTTTGGGGCATTTTCAGAAAGATTTTGAAGGCGGAGTTTCAGTTGAGAATTTGGGTAATTTAAAACTAAGCCCCAGACATAATGAATAATTAGAGCCACAGTAATATGGTTTTATTGCATCAAGTGTTGATTGGTATTTGAATGCTAAACAGGAGCAAAATTCGGTGGCTATGGTTCCTTTTTACCTACTTATCAAAGGTCTCCATCTCAATCTTATCCGAAGAATTCACAAGAAGTGCATAACATTGATGCTTCGAAGTCCCCAAAAAAGTTGCATTTAGAGGTAGATGCTTCTAGATCTAAATCTATGTACTTACTGTTAACAATCTTTCGCGTGAAGAGGAAATGAGTATGTGTATTGGTTTACATAATAATTGTGGTTACTTGAAAACTGTGTGTTGTAATACAGGATGGAAGACAAAACTTATTAGCTTCATCAAGTGTGTCTCTGTCAGTAAGGCCTCAAGCAGCCCTGGGGAGAACAGCATCATTCTGCAATTCTCTGGAAGGCGATGTCACACATGCCAAAGAATCAACTTTGAATTGCAGACTTGTTAATAGTTCTGCCAATCCTTCTGGCAAGAGAACTCTGAAAGTTAGAATCAAAGTTGGCTCTGAAAACTTGTCCACTCAAAAGAATGCTGATATCTACAGCGGACTTGGTCTTGATGTCTCTCCATTGTCTTCTTTGGATGACAGTTCCACAACTAGTGAAGGGTTATGCGGTAACCTTCAGGATGTACCAGATAAATATCCTACTGGTATTCTTGAGGTGACTCACTTTACTTCATTCTTGATCTTGACTTCTGAGCTTTTTTATTATGACGGCTAAGTTTTCTGACTTTGCGTAATTGCTGCCCTGGAGCAGATGATGACTTCGTTACCTGTGGACCTACTTCTATCCCCTCTATCTGCGGATCTGATTCACCTCACGAGGAAAGGAAAGCTTAGAGGAAAGAGTGATCATATACCCATTGAGAAGGCAAGCTTAGATAGTTCTGGGATGTTATTCAATAGATCTCATTTCAGTAGGAGTAATCAGAAAGTTTTAGAGTGCAAGAAATGGAAGTCATCTGAAATGGACGATGCTTTTTTGAAGGAATTAATGTGTAAGAAGAACAGTGGCGATCTGGACAATATCCATGTTCTGTTGAAGAAGGAAACTGATATGGACATGTTTAATTGTGAGAAACTTGTTGCCGATGCTCTGAAACTCCCATTGCTGTCAAATTTAGAACATAGCATTGCAGATCCTATGAAATGTACTTCTAGGGAAACAGTTGATGTACCTGTGACTTCTATTCATGATAAGGTGAAAGAAGAAAGCTTTTCTGAAGTTTCGGTGAAGAGACTTCATGAGAGTGCGTCTTCCCAAGATATGGGCGGCGTTGAGAAGTTGGATGGGAGGCTGGGTTCATCTGGTAAGGTTTTGGAAAATAAAAAAGATGTACCTGAAACAGAAAAGGCTTATTTTTCAGCCCATTCTGGGTCAAATGTCTGTGAGGGTAGAAACTCTTTTACTGGTGAAGCTGCTGGCCCTATGGAACATTTAGTAGTTAAGAAAAGAAAATCCGGTTGTGAGGTAGCCATAAAACAAGCTCTTAAGAAGTCTTTGGGGAGCAAAAAGAAATTTAAAGGAATTCACAGTCAGGGTGCTCAAGGATCCAACGTATCAAAAGATCAGTCTATGATTGTTTCTTCTATACTGCTTAAAAGTGGGCAGAGCTCTCGTGCTAATAGAATGATTTATAAAAATGGTCAACTCAATCTTCAAAAGGACCAGGGAAAGCCTGGAGACAGATATAAAGCTTTCTTTGGAGACTTGGAATTTGAAAAAGAAGATGAAGACTCAGTTTCAGGGGAAATGACTTTGGCAAGAAAGCTGAAGGATTCTCAACTAATTGAAAAAGGCATTGTTGGATGTCACAGCACGAAAAAAGAGAAATGCAAGGATAAAAAAGCCAAAAAGTCATCTTCTGGAGAGGAATATCTTAGGGGAGCTTCTAGTGTGGCACCTCTATCTGGAAATGGACCCTTTTCAGATGCTTCGGTAACAGCAGTGGTTCCTCTAGTCAATGAAGATTGGGTCTCTTGTGATAAATGTAAAAAATGGAGACTTCTTCCGCTTGGTACAAATCCTAAGAGCCTTCCTGATAAATGGCTTTGTAGGATGCTGACGTGGCTGTAAGTTCTATCAATGTTCTATTTCTATCATTTTATAGCATGACATTTAGTTATATGACAACTGGTTTTGGCCGAGGGAAAACAATAATGTAGATTGCATCAAAAGTTACCTCTATAATAATTAAACTGACCAGTCAATAAATTATCAATCTAGAAATACCATCCAATAAGGCATCCCAAAATACTGTACTACTGTAAAAAGACCCAGTGTGTTTTTGACCTGTACGCACACATGTATGTGACAGTACTTGTGTCCTGATGATCTACTGTTGTAAAATTTCCACAGGCCTGGAATGAACCATTGTAGCATCCCGGAGGATGTGACAACTAGTGCTTTAAGTGCCCTCTACCATCCGGTTCCTGCTTCAGCTCCTCCCTCTGCTCCAGAGAGTCAACCCAATCGGCTTAATAATCCTACTGGGATTTCGTCAGGACGGTCCTCAATTTATGCTAGTTCTTCTGGTCAAAATATCCCGAATATTGTTTCTCAAGCTACAATTATCAGCAAGAAGAAAAACAATGGGTTAGCATATGCCACAAATTCAACTGATCTGGATGCTCACAATTCACAATCTCAGAAGAAGAACCTTCAAACTCCAGGCAATAGCAGCATTTTGGATGGAGCCGCCGATTTTCCTGTTGATTCATGTGGACAGCAGTATTTGTGCCAATCTAGTAGTGCTTTTGAGAAGAATGAAGAAGAGGACAGAGTATTCCTAGACAATTGTTCTGATAGAGGTATTATTAAGTACCTTTTTTTGCTAGTGATAATGCGCCCTACTTTTATGAATGTATAATTTGAATTCAGTTATGAATTTTGGAACGCATTAATCAACTCCCCCATTTTAGCTTCTTGAACTTCTGTATCTGGAGCTTCCGTAAATTGTCTTCACCGTGACTGTTTATAGGTACAAATTCAAAGATAAGGAGCAAAAGAGAGTCTGGTTTAGATTGTTCTAGAACTTCTAAAAGATCTAAATGTAATAATGTAGATGATGCGGCTTCCTTAAAAGCTGGTCATAGCTCAAGCAGTGGTTTGTCAAATAATGCGTCAGGGAATGATCGACACTGTAAGGATGCCAGAATTGACACAAAAAAGAATGTAGCTTCCTGTAAGAATTCAGAATTCATTGTTCCAGGTACTTCAGATGATGGTTTCTTACGTACAAGCAACCTTGATAATGAGAATACTGTTAAGAAGAGGAAAGGGAAGGATCATGGTTCTCGGGTTCTTTCAAGTGCAGGACCACACACACAAGCCGCTGTGAATTTTGTGGAAGAAACCTGTGAAAGTGACTATTGGAAAGAAATGAAAGCAAGAATTTCAACATCTGGGGGAAAGGACACTGGCCAAAGCAAAGCCAATGTAGGAAAAGAGAGAAAGGACGGGAGTACAACAGACCAGTATATTGGGCAAAGTCTGAGTAACACTCTACCTAAATGTAGCTTAGATGCTGCAGATTATTTGAGAAGTGATATGGGTTCTGTACATCCTTTTGCTGCAAATTCAAGCTCTTCCAAGGTATCGGGGTCCTGTAAAAGCAAACGACCTGGACAGGAAGTGAAAGGCTCGCCAGTTGAATCAGTGTCTTCATCTCCTTTGAGATTTCCTAAAACCGATAAGTTCACATCAACAGGAAGGATCCTTGTTGGCAAAGTTGATTTTCATGATCCTGGCTCATTGACTTCTACTAGTCCTAGAAGATTTTTGAGTGGTGAAGACTGTAGGAATGATCAATCAGGGATGGTGGAAAAAAGTGCAACTCTTACCATCATTAATAATATTACTGATGTCTATGATGGTCTCCTAGGTCAAGGTAATCAAAATGCTTGGGGAACACATACTTCAGAGCAATGCCAAGATGAAGAAGGAACTGCCAGTCATTCTCAAGTTAATGGGTCTAGCTCAAAGAAGTCATGCAAAGGGTTCTCATCATGTTCTAAAGACAAGAGTCGCAGTTCTAGATCTGACTTGGATAAAAATATGAACACGGTTTCTGATTCTTCCCGGGAATTAGGTCACATGAAATTGTACGAGGAAAAAATTAAGAGCGGAAGGAACAAATTTGATGAGAAATGTGCCTCTCTTGGTGAGGCTAAGAAACCTTTCTTTCTTAAGAAAAATGTTTCTGAAGGAATGTTGAGAGAGAGTAATAAGGGAAAAAGTCAACTAAAAGTTGGAGGTCTTGATGGTTCAGATAGTAGACTAGACGTTAATAAAAGCCTGGACAAAAAGAACAATCATCTTCAACCTGAGCATGATGAGAAAAGACTATCCAAAAAGCGTCACTCTGGCAAAGGCAACCGAGCTGATGTCAATGGGAGTGGGAGGTCACACTCAGCAGCAAAGGTTCAGATAGAAACAGTTGTGGATCTTCATTGTGTTTCTCGGACGGAGAGTGGAGTAAAAGTTTTGGCTGACGACCTGTTTGAAAAGGGCAATGCCTTGAAGACTCTGAAGCAGAGTAAGAAAGCTAAGAACCAGAATGTTCAGCCCATATGTTCAAGGCATCCTACTCCTAATAAGCACAATGTTCGGGATATTGAATCCCCTAATCCTGTTCGAAGAGATTCCTCCACTCACACTGCTAACAGTACCATAAAAGAGGCAAAGGACCTAAAGCACCTGGCTGATCGTCTTAAGGTTTATACACATCCTGTTGCATCTGATGTAGAATTTGGCATCGATTCCTTAGTGTTTCATAACATGATTCTGTGTTACAGAATTCTCGATCAACTGAAAGTACGGGGCTTTATTTCCAAGCTGCCCTCAAATTTCTCCATGGAGCCTCTTTGTTAGAATCTGGAAACAGTGAGGGCACCAAGCATAACGAAATGCTACACTCAATGGATATATATAGTAGCACAGCAAAACTCTGCGAGTAAGTTATATTCATGCAAAGGTTCCTTCTTGGTTTTGTATGATTTGTATTCTTCTATGCTTCTGATTTGTGAAAACTTATCATTTATGCTTGTTTTATTGGGGCAAGGTTATTTTTGTGTTTGTTGACGAAATTTTTTCAAGTCCTTCTACCTTATTTATTTTTTCTATTTTTCCTGTCAATCTAATTGGTTTTTGGTAGGTTTTGCGCCCTTGAATATGAAAAGTCAAAAGACATGGCTACTGCTGCTTTAGCCTATAAATGCGTGGAGGTTGCATACATGCGGGTAGTTTATTGTTCACATACTGGTGCAAGCAGGGACCGAAATGCATTGCAAAGTGCTCTACAAATCGTTTTCCCAGGTTAGTTATGCAAAAAATTTCTGTGATATGATTTCAAACTAAATCACTATTGCTAAGGCTAGAAGGTCCCTCATTTTTTCACTTCTGTTTTCCTATTGACAAATATAACATATTGAGTTTTTCCCAATTTTATTCTTACAATATAGGTGAATCTCCATCGTCTTCTGCTTCTGACGTTGACAACTTCAATGGTCAAGCAACTGTGGACAAGGCTGCCTTAGCCAAAGTTGTTGGCTCCCCTCAAATTTCTGGAAGCCATGTTATCACCACACAGAATCGTTCTAGTTTCATGCGGCTTCTCAAATTTGTTAGTATAATTAGTTTAACAACATTTAAATGTGAAATAATGTCAAGCTATTGGGACCTCCTATTATTTCACCATATTTTGTGATGCAAATTAAAAATTCTGACCAGTATGGACATTCAGTCTATTTCTTTGCCTCTGTTTTTGCGTGTCCATGTCAGATTCATAATAAATTGACTCATTTTGTAGGCACAGGATACTAATTTTGCAATGGAAGCCTCTAGGAAATCAAGAATTGCGTTCGCAGCTGCTAGTCGAAGACCTGGAGAGGCCCAGGATAGAGAGGGTATCTGTTTTATCAAAAAGGCACTCGATTTTAACTTTCAAGATGTGGATGGTCTATTACACCTTGTTCGAGTCGCAATGGAAGCCATCAACCATTGAACTCAGTGTTTGTATTGCTTCAATCTAGGGTTTTTTCTTTCCTCTAATTTCTATTCGACATCGACGAAGAAAATTGACGAAAGGATATCTTGATTGCCAACTTCTGAATCTACTAGACTATGAGTTCAATTGGAACTTTGTCCTTGTAAATCTGTACATTTATGTTCCAGTTTGCAATATTTACTTCATTCTTTATAGGGATGCTTTTGAAAATGAATAAGGGCCCCAGTTTTTTCTACTAAAATTTATGAGGAGATCCTTGAATCTATGCCATGTTCATGATTACAACAATTAATCCTACTGACTTGCCTGGATCTCACACATTTTGATGAAGTATTGAGGATTCTCATTCGGTGGTTAATTTCCGGTTGGCCGTTAATTCTTTGCATAGGTAACATTTCCCCTCTTTGTTATCTTGTATATCTTACAGTTTGATTTTTGCTGATATTTCCATGTCATATACCGTTTCCAATTCTTGCAACTAGCTGAATTTACTTTTTGTTCTTGAAATGGAGAGTAATTTTGTAGCTCTATCCTTCCCATGTGTGTAAATTTGATACAGATTGATTTTTCCAGCAATTGAAGATAGTGTTCATCTACTAAAGTTTCTCTAAATCTTTTCGCAGTTGCAATTGCCTTGAATATAATACCAAAAATATTGATGTTTCATCAAGTTTCATTGGTATCTTTGGGATTCAATGCCATATCAAACTCCAGCAACTGACAGGTAATTTACCAGTTTCCGAACACTATAGAGATAATACAATTGTTGCAAGTATCAATCACATTTCGCCTATTCAAGAAATCTAATTTTGTAGTGGTAAGTCATTTTAGATATAATTTGTCATATTGAAAATAACTACTTTGTACACTTTTTTTTCCCTCTTGAAACTGCCTTCTATCGGGATTTTATATTCATGTGACCACCCTCAGAGATTGGACCTTTAGAAGTGAAATTCTATGTGGGTGGACGCTTTGGAACGTGTTGTTAATTATATTGTGTTTGAGTTGCATACTAAGACGAACTTATATCAAATGACACGAGGAGCTTAGGCATTTTGGTTTCTACACCTTTTTTTATCCACATTGGATGTTTCGGTAGTAAGGGCGCATACGACCTGACCTCAAGGCGCAACGTGAGTTGGCTCACTAGGCACTTTGGCAGATCAGTTGGAGAGGCGCTCGGACCCTGGTCAGTAGGAGGCACATCCCGCGGTTTAATTGGTTTGTGTGAAGAGGGGTCGGATCACAGGCCCAAAGAATAGTCGTCGAAGGCGGACACCTTGATAAAAAATAAAAAAATAAAAAAATGTGACCTCGTTGTGCTCTGAGTTGTACTTTGTTGACTTTTGTTGAGTATGGCTTTATGATCCTTTGTGCAGGTAACTTAGCGATGCAAAAACTTGGAAACTTACAAATGAATAGATGGGATATTTTCTGGGTTGTTTCATTATGTATTTTCTAAAATGCCGTCTCTCTATTGTTAAGAAATTTTTTTAGCTTTAGATCTTATTCTCTTATTAAGTTTTGATACAGCTTGAATTCTAATATTTTTGGGTAAATTATTATTAATTGACTCCACAATCTTTTACATGGTGTGGTACTGAGTTCTTAACCCTCAAAAGCGAAGTTTTGGAGTCCCAACCTATTTAAATTGGTAAATAAGGTCCCCCGATGATTTTTTTAAAAAGAAGAATCTATGTTAAATATGCATGCAACTTTCACGACTCACAACTACAGGACAAAATTGTCAAATAACTTGGCATTTATCTTCAATGCAATTGATAGTCGCATTCTATTTAAACATGTAATGTGACAAATTTTATCACATGGGGATTTTTAACGTCTAGGAAACAATGTTTTTCTATTACCTGATCTTTATTTCATATTTCAAAATGCACATCTCAAAATATCTAAGATTTTCACTCAATAATTATTTATTCTTGAAGATCTCTTCACTTTTTCTTTAACGAGGCAAAGGTTAAGTAATATCTGACTGGTAAATGCAATCATGTTTTCTTCAACGTTGAAGGCAATTGTACTATTAAATTTGTCTTACCTCTACAACGTGTATTATTAATTACATTCTTTCTCAATCAACAAAAATAAATAAAGCGTCAGAATGAGCCAATGTATGATGGCACAATTAAGTAGATACTATTGACAATCTTGATCGTATGCTTCTATATATGTTATCCTAGTGAGAGAAGCTAAGCATAAGACCCAGTGGGTGTCTATTTAGCTAGAAAATATTGAGGTTTTAATTGAATATTCTCTTAGTTGTACATGGTATTCATGTTAATGTTTTGCTTTCCCTTTTTATACTTGTGAATTATATGACAAGTTGAATCTTTGATATTATGATGCTACATCAAATTTTATATTAATAAAGCGTACATACATTTTGAGATTCACGTTGTCTAAGTGGAAAAATCATTATTACACAATGATTCATTTTCGATAACTTGAATTATAAGAGATGGATAAATTGAGTAGTACTTGAACAATTTTACTTCTTGGTAGTGGCCATGTGAAGAGACGCTCACACATATAATCGGATGAAAAGAGTCCAAGATGATCATTTGAGCACGAAGCACTTAAGTTTGGGATCTCTGCGCCAATTTTGGAAGAAAAATGACCAAAATTGTAAATATCCTATAGGATAGGGATCATGTATGCAAATCTCCACAGATGGACAAGCCAAATTTCTATTCCATTCGGGGAAATGATTTGGGAAGGCTACTTTCAAGTGGTTTTTGTTTAAAAGACCTTTGACCAGAATTTTGAAAATAACATAAAATATAAATATGCAAATATTTAAAAAGACAATTATAACCTTCCATTATTTCTCTCGAAACGAAAGAAGAAAGAACCCAATACTTCCCAAATTAGAGGTCTGAAGAATCAAGACACTATCTTTTTCCACTTCTGAGGCTCGCCGTCGATCACTCTCTATCTCCGTTCTCGAAAATTTGAAACTCGTTGGACCACCTTCAGGTAATGTGTATCGCGCAGCTGAATTTGTATTTTGTTTGTTTCTCCACCTCCGATTTTGTAGTAGAAGTTTGTTTCCTCGCCCCCTTCTCAGATTTAGGATGCCAAAACTTCTGTTTCTTAGATTTAGGAAGCCAAAACTTCTGTATTATTTATGGAAGGGTCTTTACGGTACCTGTAGTCAAATCTTTTGAGCGATTAATATACATTATGATAGTTTTATGGCACAAATTGACAATATTCGGCCTCAGGTGTGCTTGTAAATGTTATGTTCTGATTTCCTCTTTTTGTAAGAAAGAAAAATCATAATGTTTTGTGAAAAGAAAAAAATGATGGTTCTATTTCCCACCGTTTTAATGTTTCTTTTCATCTGCGCTATTATGATTCACCTAAGCACCTGGCAATAAGTATTTTGTAATTTATATGCTGATTGGATTAAAAGTCTCACATATTTGATTTCCTATTGGTAGATTTGCTTCTGCATTTGTTTGTTACATACTAGTGGTGTAGTTTCTTGAAAAATTTAATGGTAGTGATGGCTACATATATGTGATTTGCAAGGCTAAAACTAACTGTTTCTTTCTTGCAATGAAAAGTTTGAGCTTCTCAATTTCAATTTTGTCTTGATAGTTTCAAGTTTGATTTGTTTCCAGCCTTTGCTTGTAAAAGAGATCATTCTTGATTCTTTAATAGCATCGTCCATGAACTCTTTTACGAGTTCTGGATTAATAGTTATTTTGTTCCATCATTCTTTTCTTTCTTATTCTTGTTTGGGTTATTGGCTATTTCTTCGACATTCAACTCTTTTTCTTCAAGTCCAAAGCCATCTCTTTTCATTCTTCTAGGAAAGATCGAATAATTTGTAGAAAGTTTACCAAATGT